CCTCCATAAAAGTCAGGGTCAACCGGCCATTTAATTATAGCTGCAGGTTTGATTTTTGTGGTTTGCAGAATGTTTACTCATCTTGCTCACAAAAATATAAATCAGCTGTAGCTTAACTAACGTTAATGAGCTCTACTCGGTGGTGGTGCACTCTGGATGGTCACCGGGTAAAATGATGAGCTCCAAATTTGCTCCAACCTTGAAAAAAGAAAAGGTCTAACCCTGTCCTTGTGAAATCTTGGGTTTTTTGAAGAAATTAGTTAGGAAGAGAACAGGCAGTGGTTCTTGGGGTTGGTGGTGATAGGAAAATAACGGGAAAAGCTTTAAAATGTGAAAGACAGTGGGCCCTAAAGGGGCCAAAGCACTGTGTTTGTGCTGTTGTTCTTTGCTGCAGTGAATTTTACTGAGCTCCAACAGCAAGAATGACCGAATGACAACAGCTGCTGCTCTTTATTGCTTTCAGACATGTAACAGGTGCATCCATATAAACAGTGAGCTCCCATTTCAACACGCGGTTCAGCTTATTCATTTGATTGTTGATGTTCGTTGTTTCTCTCACCCTGCATGAAAACAATTGTTGATTTCTTTATATATTTTGTAATTCAGGTAGATTTTTGCAGTCTCAATTTATTTGAAATCACTTCATGTATGTAGCATAAATTTGCAAAATGTTGTCAAGGCACTTTACAGAGACAATTCTACCAAATCATACAGACAGAAACCCAACTGATTGCCTTTAAGAAGTTATACGTTTAATGAAGATTAACACGATGCAGTCAGCTGGTTTTCTCTAGATAGAAACTTTCAGCTGATCTGACTGTATGATCTGGTTGAATTGTCTCTATAAAGTGCCTTGAGATAACAAGTGTTGTGAATTTGCGCTATATAAATGAACTGAATTGAATGGTCGGATCAGCAGACTGTTAAAATGTCAATTGTGAGCTGCAGTGCTTCACCGGGACTTTCCAGGGAACACTGGAACTGGCAGGTTTGGCCTAGAGCCCTGATACTTCCACAGATCGAAGCAGAGTCTGAACTCAGTTGATGGATGGGAAAGGGTCAGGAGAATCTGCCAGCATCGGTTTGATCGGTTTGGTGGGGGTCAGTGTTGATTAGGTCAATGCATATTCATGATGGGATACAGACCTACAGTACAAAGCATAAACTATGTTACTGTACCCTGACTGTTATTAGGTATCAGGGTCAATTCTTAGAGCCATTGTTAGAAGCCCTCACAGGTGCGATGGGTCTACTAGTCTGAGGTCGTTCCTGCTGTCTTGTATACAAGCATGTAGAGACCCTGGGGCCAGGCTTTTGAGCGCCATTTTTAGTTGCTGCAATTACATTTTTCCCTTTATTGGTGACTTCAGATGAATTCCACTGTAGGTTAGTAATTTTCTATTTTCATCAAATGATATGGCTTCCCTTTGTTCCTAACACATTACCCATTCCACATCAGTATAGATATGCAACATGTTTTGATTTTCAGTTTGAGCCTCCTTAAGAGGGCCTCCGACCCATGTACAGAGGCCTTAGTCCTCCACGCAGCCTACCTGGGTTCGAATCCGGCCTGTGGTCCATTGCCGCATGTGTCTCCCCCTCTCTCATACCCCCTTTTACTTTCAGCCTACAGTAAAAAAAAACAAAAAAACAAGCCACTGGTGCAGAGGATAGGCATGGTCCTGACTGCTATTCTAACAAAGTTTTTCTGAAGGAGTAAAATATTGTATAGAGTAATTTGTACTTTTTTCAGGGTCCTTGCATAACAAATCAATTAGCTCCTCATATTAACCATTTAATGCGTTTTAGATCTAATTGAAGCAGAATTGCTGAGGCAGAAGCTGCTGGGTTACATTTTCTAAACAACGCATCTCCCAGGCTTCAATAATTAAAGATCTGTGGATTATATATCCTGTCATTTGGAAGAAATGACTAAAATTCGGTTTAAAATTGACATCAAAACATTTAAATACCCGATCAAATGTTTTTTTTTTTACTTTTATAGAGAAAGACGTAAATAACACAGTCCTTTTTAAACCCTCCTCTAACTGCAAGTAATCAGACAGTTTAAAGAAGTTTTCAGGTTTAACACCAAAATGGATACAGAATCACAGATGAATGCTGTGTTGTTCTTATTTCATTGTTGCCAATCGGATTTTTGATTCTGCTCTTGTACTGGACAGGGATCTTGTTGGATTTTCAAAAAAAAGAACAGCAACCTCAGAACTGGGCTTGGACTCTAAAAATGAACTATTTGCTCAATGTATAAAAAAGTTTATGTAGCTCACTTTGAAAAAACACATTTTCAGTCATTAAAAGTGATTTTTAGCTTATTTGTTTGCTGTTTGTTTGTGCTAGCAGAAAGGAAACACCGCGCTGCACATCGCCTCCCTTGCTGGACAGACCGACGTGGTGAAGGAGCTCGTCACAAATGGTGCAAACGTCAATGCACAGTCTCAGGTACGACACACTCAAACACACATGCATACTGCAAAGTATGGGGGAGTGTGTGCATGCATGCATGTTTATGAAAGCTGCACAAACTGTTGTGCAAACAGCATCAATCTGTGTGTTTGCTGTGTCAGCAGCTTTTGCTGTGCAGCTTGGCCTATATTCAATAGTCAACACACACACATTTAAAGTGGACTCTGTGACCACAGCACCAATGATAATATCTGTGTCAGAACCTGAAGCTGAGAAGTAAAATACAGAAGTTGTTTTTGACATGCTCTGATGTTTAGTTAGCTTTGAAACATTAGTGAGACTCTTCAACAATCAGGGGTTTTATTTTGCAACAGTCAATCAGTCTGTGAAATGTGCCTTTATTAAAACATTTGGTAAATCTGCACGTTTGGACCCTAAAGCTGATAATGTTGAACTATAAAGAGCAAATTGCTTCATAGTAAATCAACACCAGGAGATTTTCACAAATAAATCATTTTTATATCACATTATCATGTCCATTAATGTGTTTCTGATGACTTAATGTGGAGGAGATGATTCTGTTGATCCATGGGAGGATATTTAATGTGAGTGATTATCCCAATCAAGAAAACGCGCGAGAAAGGAAATCTCTCAGACCCAGAGATTCCTCTGCTCACTTTGCAGGAAATATTATGGTCCCTTAAGGCTTGTTTCCCTGGTTTTTCAATTCTTGTTACTGCTGCAGCACAGCTGCAGGCTTTCATTTAATCCATCAGGCAGTATCATGCATAAGTGCTGAATTTACTTAAATTTACACCTATTTAATTAAAAAGATAACACTTCTAAAAAAAAAATGTGAAACTGGGGAAACATTTGAAATGAATAGTTGATTAGATTGCCTACCAATGCACGAACATCCGATACAGTAACGTCTTTTAGGTTATTATTAATTAAGGCCTGCCCGAATAAAATCTGATTAAAACTAAATGTTTACTTTTAAAATGAGGGATTATACCTGACAAAAGTTTATTTCCAGGGGAAACGATTGCTTTTGTTGTTGTTACTATTATGTCATCTAAATGTACTGATTTTTTTTAAAACATGTTATCAGACAAAAATAACCTGATTGAATACAAAATGAAGGTTACAAATGTGGATTCATTATATTATGGAAAAGAATCTGTGCAAATATACTAGTATTGCACCAATACTGATACCCTTATACCGGTATTGG